GAATATAAGTAGAAAAATCAACAATAATTATATAATTTTTATTGTTTAAATTGTGCCACTTTTGAGGGTAAAAAGAAGCTTTATTAATACATTTTTCCAGGACAATGATTATAAACTGGGTCTGAGCAGACAAGTATAACATTTAGAATAGACTAAATAGATTATTTTCCCCAGGCTAGCAATAATAAGGAGCTGTTAACACCCTTAGAACTAAAGAGACAAAGAGAGGAAATGGTTACCAGAACCTAGCAAGCAGCAAGATGAAAAAGGTCAACTAACAGGGGCTGGGGCCCTCAGGAAAGTAAAGCCACCAATCTATGAGGAACTAACACAAAAGGAGTGGGTGAATTTAAATCCCAACTTCTCTGGCCTCTTACTTTCTGAATCTTGCCAGAAGCTGGAGGTCAATCCTTATGGGTCAGCCTGGGGGGAGGGGGGTGGGGAAGCGGAGGAGTGGGGGGAACAGTACAGCAGGATAGGGAAGCGAGGAGGGTATATCGGGAGGGAAAAATAGAAGATACCCAGCATAATAAATATCTTTGCAAAGGTATCCAAAGTTGGAACTATCTTTCAGCTCTGATCTCTTCTACACTCTTCTGAAGCAGTCTAAGAAAGTTCAATTCCTACCTTCTTCTTGAACCATCTTCTTCCTGTTCATGTCCTATACATTGTAGAAAAACAGTAAAGTAAGCAAGATCTTTTACCTCCAATGGCTGAAGGTAAGACTGTTTCCTTACAGAAGAATGAGCACAAGCTCTAGGTTTTCATACATATATTAAGCCTTCTTCACTTCCTAATTCAAAAGTATCTGGCCATAAGCCGATTATGCAGGTATCAACAGTCTGAGAATACAATAAAATAAAAGAGATGTTTTTAGCATTTGTCATAGGAAACTCCCTCACTTCACTTTCCAGTTCACTAATGTCCTTAAAAGATCTTAGAGGAAGTATAGTGTTTGGTGAAACCAATCAGTTATTCGGACCAACAGCAAAGCTGCTTGAGTATAAATATATAATGCAAATTAATGCTGCAGTCATGACAAACCACACACTAATCACTTCACATTATATAAATACTATACCTGACTGTGAACATGAAGGTAGAATAAGAAAGAAAGACTATTCATCTCTGCAAAGTGTGGCCCTTCCTTTCTGGATGCGTGTATGAAAGTCAAAAGGTAGTGATTATATAACCAGCATCCTGAAGAACCTAGAGCAATCACTTTACTTCCAGGCCCTCAAAGAAACCACCCATCTGCTAGGGAAAGTCCACTGTTACACTTCCTAAAATATTACCAAGAGAAGACTGGTGTCATCCACTTTTCTTACCCCATAGAAAGAGATCTCTCCCTTTTCATCAATAACCTATCTGATAGCCCTTCCATTTTTTTTTTAATCCAATGACTCTGTGATTTAATAAGTTTAAAAAAATAAGAATCCTTTTTTCCTGACAACGTGGATCTACTTCTTCAAACATAGTTTTGCATGAAGACTAGGCTCTTAAAATATTCAGGACAGTTAAAAGAAGAGGAGGAAAGGAGTAAATCTAAAAGGAGGGAGAGAAAGAATAAGGAAATAAAAAAAGGAACTATTATTTAAAAAGAAATAAAAATATTTAAAGAAATAAATGAATGACAGATCTTTCCATTTAGAGCAAGAGAAAGGAGAGCTGTGGTGGGTCATTTTCTGGCCCTTCTCATAGGTGAGAGGATTGCCTAAGCTCTCTGAGTAATCACAGTGATTCAAATGATCTCACTTCTGTTTCCTACTTTAAGGAGGGCACCATTCTTGACTCAACCTAGGATTTCCCAGACTAGGTTCACATGTAGGTACAGTTCACACCTTCAGCATTTGAAAAGAGCAGAAACACAAGAAGCTCTTCAGCTCACCAGGAATTTTCAGAGATGCCTTTACTTGATTTATGGCCAGGCAAGGCATAAATGGATTCCAGAAGGAGGGCAGCAAAAAAAGCTAGAAAAAGAGATCTTTATAGAGAGATTCTTTTAATAAAAAAATAGTTTGCTACCTGACAATGATTGTAAAAGAAAGTTAATATACTTCAATCTACTGAAGATTTATTGAGTATCTATTACGTGTAGCACCCAAGACAGCTCTATGGTGAATATGATGATGACCACAATTGTAAGAAAAATTGGCTTACCCTAATGAACTTATAGAGCCCATCACATGCTATCCTTTGCAATTAGTGTTTGGAAGATCAGAACTCACTTTTGAGCTTGTCTTAATTTTCCAGTTTTAATAATGTTTTTCTGAAATCCTTGAAACACCCTTGTCTCCTTTATTCCTTGTCCTTTATTTTGCCTTATCTTGACTGTTTTTTGTTGTTTTGATTTTTGTTTTTGTTTTTGCCTTCTGGCACCAATTAAATCATTGCAAGTCACTTCAAATGTTTTGGGGAAAAGTGAATTGATATCGAACAAACCAATTATAAAACATTCCTGCGTCCAAGAAAACTCAAGGTCTAATAAATAAGGTTGAAAAATATTCTTGAAATATTACAAAACGAATGGAGGTCACAAGAAGGAAGCCCAAAATAAATATAGCTTAAAGTAAAATGAGGGCACATCCAGGTAGGAGACCACTTTTGGAGGAGATGGCCAGTCAAGTGAGCATTGAATGACAGGAAAATGCCAACACCTGGGAGTGTGAGGCTGGGAAGAAGAAAGCTTAGGGCACCTTTGCAGAAGCCTAGGAGATTGGAGATAAGGCTGGAAAGACAACTCGGAGCCAAGAGGGGAGTCTACCAAGAGTTTTTGAGTGGCAAAGTGATGTGATCTTAATGATCTCAGAGATCACGCAATTACAGATAAGGAAATTGGGGCCCCAGGGACCCAGTTGTTTAACAGGCAAAGAGCCATCGTCTACAAAGACCGACATAGGTGTAATGTTTAAAAGAAGAAACAAAGGAAAGGAGAACTTCAGAAAGGGCTACTTTCTTCCGTTTCTGCCTCCATCAGTATAGCTCAACTCAGTCAAGAGATCTCTGTCTCTAGCTCCAGACTGCTTTTTTATCCAATGTCCAGCTGTAGTCCAGCAACACCTCTGATGTCACAGCAAAAGAATCAGGTTTTGGCACCATCCAAAATACCCTGAAAAGTTGGTGATAGGGAAGCAAGAAGGGAGAGGGACTTCTTTTCCAAAGGATGTTGACAAGACATGAAACCCTAGACTTGAAGGTTCCAGAACATTTTTGAAGTCAGTGGTGAATCAACGGCTTTCCCACACTCGGCGCCACAACTTTTATCCTCAAGACTTAATCAGCGAACTGGGTTCATCTGTACCGGTACAGCTGTTGAGGGTTTTCTATGAAAAAAGTTCACTTCTGGCTGGAGTCCCCATCCCACCCTCACCCCCACCCCCGAGTCTGTCCTCCTCCTTCTTCCCTGCCACCCCCTCCTGTTGTTCCTAGGCGCTATGTGACATTTGTTAGGACTCACGTGGGGCGCTCTGCCTTGGCGGCTCCGGTGATGACTCCTAGGAACTTCCCAAGGACCGGGGCTCTGCAAGTTCTTACACGCAAGGGGGGCGGGGGGAGGGAGAGGGGAGCTGGACGTCAGGCTAGCCCGGGCAGCGCGGGCCAAGCTCCGGCGGAGCAGGGTTCATACCCCCAACAGCTTGGTTGGTGTCGGCCTTGTATGTCCCTTCAACCCTCCGTTGGCGTTGCCAGAGCCCAGAGGTGTTAAGGCATCCTCTCAGGCACTCTCCTTGACTCACTTCGCGGCGCTTAAAATCTCTTTCCTGGATTTACGAGGGTTTGCGCGTAAAAATCTGAGCCCGCCATCTCGTTGCCTCACCTGCCCCTCGCCTGTGCCTGTACTCAGGCCTCAAAATGGGCTTAAGGCATCCAAAGTTGTTTTGGCCGCTCAGCACCCGGCGCAGGGCGCTTGAATCATGCGCGCCACCAGGTTCGTTGCGCGCTGGACAGCACCTTCTCTGGGCGCGCACCTCTGCGCACCGCGCTGCAATGACTGGCCCCGCAGATTGAATCTGGCGTCCTCGCTCTTATGCTGGCCCAAAGAGTGGGGCTGTGAAGGTGGCTGAGCGCAGGACTTTGTGGTTTTAAAAGTTCTAGACACGTATAGAATGTACTAGAGAAGACTGCAGCCCCACTAGGCGCTCCCAGTCAGCCGAAGTGTAAGTGCGTCTTTCCTGAAATTGACAAGAGTGCTTTGAAAAGTAATTGGGGGAAGGGAGGGCGGGCAGGCCCATCGAATCTTTTCCCATTCATTTCAGCTTCTCGTCGTCCCTGCGCCTAAGATTTCCGTCACAATTGCTCATTTATTGCCTTCACATGGAAATTCGGTCGAAGCCTCAGGCTGTACCCACTGTCCAAAGTATCTCATTAAGTAAACACATGAGTTTTCTTAGTAGCCACGAAGGAGGGAAACCACTCGTTGCAAATGGCTGAAGGAAATGCTCAGTGTGTACAATATGCACTAGCCGCGGTACCTAGTCCTTACAGTGGCTGCCGTTTGGGGGTGTTTTTTTTCCAACAAGAAAGGGGCTTGGTCATGAAAATGGCCCTGTAGGAGAAAGATGTGGGTATCTCTTTCTTAAAGCACATTAAGGCATATATCAAGAGTTTCGGGCAAAGATCAAACGAGGAAGGTGAGGGAAATTCCTGATAATTTTGCTAATGTTAAAATTCCATAGATTTGGCTAGTCTTGTTTTTTTTTTTTTTTCATTCATGTCATCAATTCAGAATTCTATAAAGGAAGCAAATGACATCAAGGAAAATCATTGGCCTAGGAGAAAAGAGCCCGTAGGCGTTTAGGTGTTATATATGTGGAGCCAGAAAGCTCTGGAGCATCAGGGAGACTCCAACTTAAGGCAACAGCATGGGTGTGAAATGTGGGCTTCTATGCACTGGGAATGAGAGGGGAAGAGTAGTGCCTGGGCACTTGCTCCTAAGGCAGGCCTTGCAGATCTAGAGGCAATTCAGTGTGGGTGGAAAGAGTTTAGTGTGAAACTTGGGTGGAATGGGGTCTCCGAGTACATTGCCTGATGCCTTATTATTTGTTCTTTCAGTTTTTTTCAGGAAGATCTTCATTTTGCAACTGGTAGGGCTGGTGCTAACCCACAATTTCACTGACTGTGACTTTGAGAAGATTAGAACAACTTATCGGGAAGTAATTTTCGGAAAGCTGAACTCATATATGAATGGGGTAAGTGAAGAAACATTGTTTTAAAATGTTTTCATCTGAAGAGTAGACATGCTCACCCAAAGCATAATTTTGCTTTCAAAGGAAGAAAAATAATTGAGGGGAAAAATCATGGCCCAGAATTTTGTCACAAATTTTTAAAGTGATATTGAAATATATCGGCTACTAATATGACTACCTAGAAGCCAGCACACATTAAGTGTGCAGATGCTGATGAGGAGCAAATATTGATAGCTAACACATTATCCACCAAGGGTGTCTATCCTCTGCTAAAGTGCTGCTCCACCAATACAGCTAAAAAGACAGGCTTGAGGGGGAAAAAAAAAAAACAAAACAGGAGTAAAAGAGAGGGAATTCTTGTGAGCTATGCCCTAAGCAGTGAGGATACCTTCCCTCACCAGGAGGTACACTTCAGGTCTTTCTAATGTTCTTGATGCCTTAGGATGCTATGGGATAAGATGCGCTTCAGATTGTTTAATATATAGTGGTAATCGTTTAATATATAGTGGTAATCATTCTCGATTATTCTAATTTCTAGATAGAGCATGCATATATGAAATGCATGAATGACTACAGGGAAGATGTGGACATTCGAAAATAGCATAGTGCTCACATGTGTACAGGTGTGCCCACTTTGATGGGGATGGGGAATCTCCCTCCAAGACTAAGACCAGGATCCTTTGATATTCAGTTTCAAACACTAGAAGCATTAGCTGACGATACTAAATGTTTCGCTGCCTTGTCAATGACAAGAATAGATGCATAGAAAATGAGTGCCTGAATGGAAACTTTTCGGAGCATCTTTAAAACCTGGGAGCAAATTGGTCTTTCTATCCAGGTGTGAAGAGGACTGATTTGATAGGGAGGTAAAGAAATTATCTTTCTCATCGTAAGCTTTTTTTCTTTCTTCCAGACCAAATGTACCCTGTGCAACAACTATGTTTACTGTAAAGACCGGGTGAGTAAGTGGTCAGTGCTTCTGGTTTTCTCCAGAGACAGCAGGCATTCCAGGAACAGGGTCCCCTGTAGTGTGTAGAACCCCAGGCGGTGGCTGGGCTCCCAGGTGACGCCGACTGAATAGGGACGACTTGAGGCCGGAACCTCTGAGCGGGTGTCCACCTTGGAACGCCACTTCTGTTCCAATTTAAGGCGAGGAAGTCTCCCTCATTAACTAGCGGGGTTCCGAAAGAGGCTGGCCCATTCCTCACCCCGCCCCCCTGGGGATGATGACAAAAGGGGAACTAGGATCAGGGCCCGACGTTAGGGGTACACACCCCACATCCCAGGGGTGCGGTGCCTCCGCGCGTCGCGCCCCCTCTTGGCAGTAGCGCGGCCCGGAGTCTTGGGCGGAGCAAGGCGGCGCCGTGCTTTCTCCTGAAGCGCCCGCCGCTTCGCGCACGACGTCCTCTTTCCTCTCCTTGCGTGGGATTTTTCTCCCACTCCTCCGAGACCTCCTTCCTCTCACTCTCATTTGTGTCCCTCACTCCTCCCCTACCGCACCCCCGCCTCACTTTCGCTCATGTCTTATCAATGCTTTTTTTTTTTTCTCCACCACCCCCGCGTTTTCTTCTTTTCTCGTAAACTTTGCCGACTATGAGCAGCCGGATTGCCTCTCTAAAATCGTGCTCCTTACGTTCTATCCCACCCACGGCTGCACGTCACTCGCCAAGGAAATCTTCGCAATGAAAACTAATGCTACGCTCACTCTCCAGTGCCCAGGCTACTCCGGAATTCGGGTAAGCGGATGCCGCGCACTTTTACTTTTTAATATCTTAGAGCTAACCTTGTATCAAAGCGGGGTTTCCGTGCAATGCAAAAGTCGTTGTGATTTTTATTCAGTTTCTATCTTTCGACGAGCAAATGAACTGGGTAAAAGCTGTAGACCCACGTTGACGTCTCCACCCAGATCCAACTATTTCGAGGGTTCTGATTCTTTACGCAGAATTATGGTTCTAAACCTTAGGCCAGTGTTTCATGGTATGATTACTGAGCCTCCTATATCGGAATGTCCTGGCTGCTTGAGCGTGGGAAGGTGATCCGCCAAAATACTGATTCCCAGGGACCCAACCTAGACCTTCGAAATCACAATCCCCGTGTATGGGCTTCTTATGAGATTTTTATCCATTAATTTGAGCAGCATTAGTTCAGCTTATCACTTAATAATTGTGTGTTCTTTTTTAAAATGTTAAATTATACATTAAATCTTTACCTATGTTTGCTTAATTGCTTGTATGGGTGATATTGCTGTCTATATAATAAAATTTTTGTGTATTCAGTTACATGTATTTGAATGAATGTGCAACTTTAAATATGGAAACAGTAGGGCAGAGTTAGAAGCAGGAAGTCTGGAGACTGTCTTACCTGATTTTGAATCCTAGCCCCATAATGTCTAACTGAAAACTTGGACAAATTGCTTAGCCTCTGTGTGCTTAGTTTTATCTGCAAAATGAGGATCATGTTAGCAAGTCCCACATAGAATGTTTGTGAGTATAAAAATGAGTCAATATTTGTAGAAACACTAGGAATGGTGCCTGGCATATAACTAATACTCAATAAGTTATTTATTTCAACATGCAAGTAAAGCAGGGAATTTCTCTTCCTGAGAGCAAATTTTAAAAAGACAAAGAGAAACAATGCAGATATGTGTGGTTGCTATCTGTTAACCAATGGACTTTATCAGTCTGCACACCAAGTGTCTGGGTGGCCAAGGCTGTCACTTTTTTGGAGATTGAAGATTGAAGCCATAGAATGGAACTGGGTTGAGCTTAAGTTGGGTACTCAATACCAGGCAGCCCTGTGAAAAACCTGTTCAGTTCTATGCCTTTTATCAAGGACACTCTAACAAATCTACAGATGGCCACAGTGAAGTTCATCCATGTAAGAAGAGCATAGAGGACAGGCTAGATCAGGTTCTGGACAGTAAAAAAGGGAAAGTCTCGAGTAATTTATTTCATCTCCCTTCCAAGCCCAAAGGGAGAGCCTAAGACCAATAATATTGAGTTATGATTTAGCAGATTTTAAGATTTTTGCTTAGTAACCTTACTGATCCAAATATTGCATGTCTAGGAGGTCCAGTCTGTCACTAACTACTCAACAGTAATTTAGGTAGAAGCATACACCGAAAGATTGTTGTAATCTTTTTTTTAAGTTTAGGGTCTTCAGAAAAGCCTTCAGTGTCTGTGGCACATCCAGGTAGTTGAAGGGACAGAAGGTGGGAGTACTTTGGGTCCAAATAATAGGTTTACTGAATCATATCTATTAAGAGCCATTGGATTTGTCCTGTTCTTGAGGAACTTATGGTCTTGCCAGGGAGATCATGACATCATCAACTTATTCATTTACTTATTCATTCAGTAAATATTCAGTGTTTCCTATGTGTAAAAAAAAAGATCGTGCTCAGCACTGTGGGGAATACCCATGATGTAATAATAAAAACAGCATGTAAGTGAGAGCCAAGTTAAATGAAACACACTGGGAAACACTATAAGAGTTTCCAAAGGAAAAGTCTGAGCAATTAGCAGAGGCCTTGTGAAGGAGGTGGTGTTTGACCTTGAAGCAAAAGTAGGTGGTTGGAAAGATGGGAGGGCGTTCCTCTGGGGGAAGCACATAGGAGCAGACAGTAAGCAGGTGTTTTAGGGACACACTGAGAGATGGATTTGCCTAGAGAAGACAATATAACCTGCCACTCAACAGTTGGTAACAATAGTGACAATTAAGTCTGATTATTGATTTTCCTATTTCACAGATAAATAATACCCAGGCAATGAAGAAAAGAGAAGACACAACAAATAAATGTCGGGACGTCGTCTCAAACTTAATAAGATTGTGGGCTCGTTTCACTCGCATTTAACAGAAACAAAATAAACCTTCATTGAAGTCATATTTCACAGCAACAAAATAAATCAACTTCATTAAGTAGATGCAATGTTAACTCTAACTGTGACATTTAAGAGGTCACCAATTGTTATTTTTTAGTTATGGAAGGGTCTTAACTTATTTTTGTAAACTTTTACTGTTTAATGTTGGTCTATAAGGTGGGGGATAATACTATCCCTCAGATATCAGGGGAGACTTCTGTAGTATTGATGTCTGGGCCACTGGCTTTGTGACAGTAATTCTCAGCTGGAATTACATAAGCCTTATGCAAGGGAAAAATCTAGAAGTGTAGTGGAAGGAGAACTTTTTCCCTTGGAAAAAGAAAAAAAGTTGAACTTAATGGCGTGTAAACCTCTGTTTAAATATTCTTCCACAAGTACTGACACTTCATGTGTCCCTTACAAAAGAAGGAAATAAAATCAAAAAGGTGTGAACAAAAAGTTGTACATACAATGAAGCAATTTGAAAGAATGTCCGTGCAAATATTGTGAGAGTGTTTTAAGCCAAGTTTTAAAAATTATGTAACAGACGAGAATGATGTATACAAGCAGATCCTGAAGAAATGCCTTTGTTAAAGCTAATATAATATATTTTTTTAAATTTATGAAATTATTTTTAATTTATTTTGTAAGCACTTTTAATAATGTACATATTGCTTTGTAATTGACACTATACATTTCTTAATAAAATAATTCTCAAATTTAAAAACTTTTTAATGTAGTTACTAGATGGTTTTCACCTATACACTTTTCTGAGTGTCTTCACTTTACTTTTTTATCTCCCCCTGGTCCTTAGAGCCCACTGACCACTCTCCTCCTACATTGTGCTTGCTCTAGAGAAACTATTTGGGGACAGGTGGCTTCAGAAGCATTCTTTTTTTAATCATGTCTCTAGTCCTTCTTTCTTTGCCCTGTTAGACATCCCCACACCTGGAAGAGACAAAAGAGACAAAGGTAAACAAAATATCTTAAATTCATTCTCTAATTCTTGAAGGCCTGCTGCAAGCCAGAGACACAGGCACCCTGTCATTCACCCATCATTCAGAATACTCTAAACAATAGTGGAAGGGACCACCTTAGCCATAGCACCCAGGCCTGTATAGAGCAGATATAAATACATCAATTGATATATGAGTGGAAAGTTTACCTTGATCAGTGCCCCAAGGGATGGTGCTGAGCAATGGTAGAAGAGAAGAGGTTCAATGTCCTTAAATCCATTTTACCTGCCAACAGGTAAGAGGAAGCTTATATTATGTATCCAATAAGCATTTACGGAGCACCTACTATGTGTCAAGGCTTCAGCCAAATACTGGAGATACAAAAGTAAATAAGGCAAAGCTCTTACCCAGGGAAACTCAGAGTGTAGCTGAAAAGGCAGTTTCCTTTGCCATGATGGAAATCAGGACATACATATCCACTTTCCAAAAACCTTCCTTTAAGTTGTAGCACAGGGCCTTAAATGACATCACGAGAAAAATTCTCTGACCAGTATTCATTAATTTTCTGAATCATACATTTCTACTTTCTGAAATGTATTGAGGTTTTCTAAGTGGACTAATATATGGTCAGTTTAATAAGTGTCCCATTATCAATGGAAAGAAAGTTTAACCTTTTAAAAGGAAATGTTTATTTCTTCATGATAGCCATATCAAAATGCAGTAAACGTCAGGGGAAATGTGTCACATGCTTTACTGAAGTCAAAACATATCAAGCCTAAAGAAAGAAAGGAACCCCCACAAAAAAAAAAAAATACTAAGCCTATATCAGCCCTCAAATCTACAAATTAAATAAACTTATCCAAAAAATTAATGTGATATTTTTATATCTCAATTGTATTCCTTTCTAAATCTTACAAACCAACAAGAATTATACCAGAGAATAATGTCAAGCTGACTTGGGTTTTTTAGTGTTTCTTCCTTTCCACTTTTCAAAAGTATTAACTTTTCTCAAATGTTTTTGTTCTAGCTGTAGCTTTGAGAATATCTCCTAACTGGCATAGTACTTTTCAAATACAGCTATGTTTAAATACAGCTATGTTTTTTTGATAACCAGTGTTTATAGAACACCAACTAATAAAGTTTCACTGATTACAATTAATAAAAGTTATTTGTGCCTAAACATAAGGATAATTGTTTATACATGAGGAAAATAGCAAATTAACTTTCTCGAGTCTCAGATTCTACACCTCTGAAATAAGGACGATGCTGACTACATTAAAGGTTGTTATGAGAATTAAAGTACATAATATGGATGTGGTTCCATAGTGTAGCGGTTAGCACATCTCATGGTCTATAGCCATGCCACCCTGAACAAGCCCAATGTCTGATCTTGGAAGTGAAGCAAGGGTGGGCCTGGTTAGTACTTGGATGGGAGATCACCTAGGAAGACCAGATGCTGTAAGCATAAATAGGAAGGAAAAAATAAATTGTAAGCTAACAAGGTCCTTGCAATCTGTGAGGTCAACCAAGGGTTGACTTGCCTTAAAAAAAAAAAAATATAAAGCTTCCTGAACTTCCTG